TTTTTAGTAATTATAAAAAAATATATAAAAAAACATTTTAGCGGCCAAATATGGCCGCTAGACGGTTTAAGGGATAACAATATTCAAATACTACTATAAATTTTAAAAATATAATCAACCTATTATAAATTCAATTTATTATAATCTTTTGAAATCACTGACTTTATATAATTTGCAAAAAAAAATTCACCAACCTATCATAAATTTGATTTATTATAAACCTTTATAAAGTCACCAACTTTATATGATTCATATATAGAATATAAAAAGCCACTGCTATTAGTTGTTTCAGTATATATAAATCAGATACAGATCTGAAATGTTTTGATTAGAAATTCAATAAACATAAAAGACGAGCAAGGTTAGAACAAAAAATAATATAAAGCTCTGAAAAAGTTCAAAAGTTTTAGCAGGTTATATATAATATATGATATATTATATACTAAGATGATCGACTAAAATGAAATTTACTTTATTATTAATTTTTAAAGGTGTTTATAAAACTAATTCACTTAATTCCAAATTCACAAATCATATAAATAAAATTTTATAGCAGAAACTTCTTAAAAAAAATTTGGGTCATGTGTTGTAGATTACTGATCAAGCCAACCAGAATTGGTATAAGCATGGTAGGGCTGTGGATTACTGCTGACTCAAGTTTAGGACTGACCCTATAGCTAATGGGATATGATCAACACACCAACAATCACTTTGTAGATACTATATTTTATTGACAATTACTTACTGACAAGTTCATTTTCCAACAGTTTATTTCACTGAAGCCCATTTTAGAGATAATGTAATTCTGGTCAATATCATTAAGGTCAGGCTAGAATTAAAGTTAAAGTTAGTATAATTTAAAAAAAAACTTGTCAGTGAAATAAGCTTCGGTGAAATAGATTGTTTGTAAAATGAACTTGTCAAAGAATAATTGTCGGTGAAATGTGGTATCTATGAAATGAATGTTGGTGAAATAATACGGATCTATGGCTAACATGCCCATGGCCTTTGCAACTATCAGTGAATTGATGGTCTTTAAGACTACTAATAAATTGATATTAATAATACATGTGATTTGTGATACAGTAAAATAATATATAAGGCAACTTGAAATTAAAACCTTGTTTAACATTATTCTCTCTCCACTTATAGGTCTTTCTCCAAAAATTAAACAATTAACAAAGTAAAAAAAAAATTAAAAATTAAAAAGTATATATTGTTCAAGTTGACAGTAAGTCAACAGATCGAAAAGATGTAATGCTAACAATTTAATTGTTAATATTATTCTTTGTTAATAATAAAAGTTAAAATGATTAGTTAAGAAAATAGAAATAAATTAGTTAATCATCTTTAGGTTTAACTTAAATCTGATTTAGGTTCTGATAAACCTAAATTTGATTTATTTGAACCTAGTTTAATTTTTTCTCTCCCCTCTATACAAATTTTTAAAAAAATAATGTTAAATAAGATTTTAATTTCAAGTCATCTAAAGGTAATTTTAGAATTTACTATATATTTTTAGTTCTTATAAAAAATACTTTTCTTTTACATATTCGTATTATAAAAAAAGATTACTATATAGCCTTTAGCTATATATGACACATTGAAAATATTACTGTATTAGAAAGTATTATTTAATTGTTTTATTAATGATTATACTAATATAGTAGATTTGGTATACACATGTTTATTAGCACAAAATCAGAATTGGGTTTATGTAATGTATGTATTGCATAATCAATCATCATGTTATATAAATAGAATAATGGTCTTTAGTAATTAGTTAGTTTGAAAAATAAATTAGAAAGATTAGAATAGAAGTCTAGAGATTCGAATAGAAGAGATTTTAATAATAAAGAAACGTCTAAACAATAAGCTTTGTTTTTAGCGAATAAACTGTATCTTAGTAATATTGTATTGGTGGTATAGTATCTGGTCTGATACTTCATTTATTGCATAATTAGCCAAGTGAGTTAAAGACTATTAGTAAAAGTCTATAAATACACATTAGTTTAGATAACTTTATGACACAAGGACCTGGGTAAGACAAAGGTCTACTTGCAAAACCTTGTTGAAGCTTGTTGTATTTTGCTAAGTGCAAAAGCCAGAAGGTTGCACTGTTGCAATTGGTAAATTTAAGCCTTGGTGGCAAGTTCAAGTTGAAGTTGTTTAATGAAATCAGAATTGAGAATAGAAGAAACAAATTACCTGGTAACGTTGAAGAAAATCGTGAAAATGGTGGTTTAAGAAGTAATAAAAAGCTTGAAGACTGGTCAAGTGAAATAAAAAAAACATATGTTGCATTTGTGTTATGTGTGTTAACATAAAGAGCACTTTGCTCATTCATGTCTGGCTATGAAAGATCAAAGTTATGATCAAAGTTTAAAGAATGAGATAATAAATGTTTGTTATATAGAAATTGAAAAGAAAGATTGTGGAAATTTTAATATAAAGAAAAGATTAAAATAAAATGAAAAGTTAATTGTAAAAATAAAGACAATTATAAAGTGGTAAAAAGGGTGAAGATAATTGAAAGTTTGCAAAAGCATCAATTAGACTTAGCTCATTTTTGAATTTAATAAACATAAGATATGCAAAAGTAAAAGAATTTATCTAGAAACATATAAATAAGAAAATTAGTAATAAAGTTGTTGGATGCGTTTCTAGTATTAAAGTTGATGTTGATAGCATCAAAGTAGTTTAGAAGTTCTATGTAAAGTGAGGATTATGTTGTGATGCTGTGCTTGGATTACAAGATCTAGTCATAATATTCAATATAAAGGCAATCAGTGTTATTATATAATCAAATCAGGTTATAAAAAAACAACATTTGTAATTACTAATAAAAATGTCTCAAATGAATATGCAATGGATAAAAGCAGTATAGTGAAAAATGATGCCAAAGTGAAAATAAATTTGTGGATATTAGGTGTGTCAAAGGTAATTTGAGTAAGGAAGAAAATATTGATAATGAAGAGAAGAAAAAGAGAAACATTAATAGGCTGAATGAAAAGAAACTAAATCAAACAAAAGACATGAATTCAGAGAACTTATCTGTAAAGTATAATGATAACAAGGATAAATCAAATAAATTAAAAACTGTTGAAGCTAATATTGAAAATAACAAATGTAAAGCATTCATTCTTTGTCAAAAATCTGCAAATATGAATGATGCTAATGAAATTTCTATAATTGGACTTTGTTATTATTACAAAGTTTGAATTAAAAAGGATGAATATAAGACATTTATTGATTATTAAGAATATGCTAATATAGGTAATTCCAATGGAGTATTTAATATTTGAAATTGTTATAAAAATGAAATTAATATAGAAAAAAACAAATATAAAGCATTCATTAATTATCAAAGATCTGCTAACAAAGATTCTAATAGTAAAACAAATAATATAGAACATTATTATCATTATGGAATTGAAAAGTAAATATTGAATAATGTGATGATATTGAATGATCATAGAATAGATTCTATGAAGTTATAATACAAACTGCTGATTAATCAAATAGCATGGTATTATAGTGATTAAGAATCAAAATGCAGATCAAAATTAGGTTGTATTGCATAGTGGTGAAAAAGTTAAATTTCTTAAAGGTAGAGAATATGTAGATCATTTTTTATATAATATGTATAGCAAATCAAGACCTTATATAGATAGTAAAATTTTGCTACTAATAAAAATTTTTAAGAATCTAATTAATTTTCGCCAAATTTTTGTGAAACATAGATTGTACCTTCTATTTTTAGTAGTAAAATTTTTAAAGGCTATATTATTTTAAAAAATATACTTTTTTATATAGCTAAATTTGCTGCGGTGGCTTCAAATTTGCTGGGGTTACACAAAAAAAAGAATAGTAAAAATATTTCTAAAACAGGTAATTACCCAATTAGGGTTGTGTTTACTATGTTATATGTTATACAAAAAAGATTTACTATATATATCATATGATAAATGATCTAAATATCCTCTATCTTTAAATAATTGTATTTGAACCATGTAATCGAATATGATGGATTAATTAATGTGGAGTTTGAAAGTCATATTAATGTACGAAAACTTGAGAGAATCGATGTATAAATTATGTTGGATCAGAATTGATTGCTTGAGATCAAAGCTATGTAGATATTTAAATGTTAGTAGTAAGTTAGTTATTTTGTATTAGGTAATTTGTTTATAAGGGCTTCGACTTCAGGACAAAGTTCTGGGGTCTAGCTCATAACATAGTAGATTTGGTATATATATGTTTATTAGTATGAGATCAGAATTGGGTTTATATAACTTACACATTACATAATCAATTATTATATTATATAAATAGAACAATAGTCTTTAGAAATTAGTTTGAAAAATAGATTAGAATAGAAGTCTAGAGATTTGAATAGAAGAGATTTTAATAATAAAGAAACATCTAAATAATAAGCTTTGCTCTTAGTGAATAAACTATATCTTAGTGATATTATATTGGTAGTGGTAGTATCTGGTATGATACTTCAGTTATCGTATAATTAGCTAAGTGAGTTAAAGACTGTTAGTAAAAGTCTACAAAAACATGGTAGTTTAGATAACTCTATAATATATACATACTAGGATATAACCTGTCACTTTGCTCTTGAATTAAGAAATAAGTATAAAGTTAATATATACTTGCTATAGTGGTTGTAGTAAATAATTTAAGGCACAAAATTTAAACATGAAACCCATGGATGTCTCAAATTTGAAAATCAGATTTTATACATAAAAATAATCTTTTTTATAACCAGCTAGTGTTCTTATAAACCTGTGGTTTAAAGTTCATGAACATGTTCAAAGGTTTAAATAAAGAAAAAAGTAAATAATCGCAAAGATAAAAATACTTATATCTTACAATCTACTGGGCCAATTTTAATGTTTTAATCACTATTTTGTTTTCAAGATACTCCTCTACAACTTTACTTAGCTGTTAAAAAGAGGTTTATTTAGTAAAGAAAAAATTTTTTTCTTTGAGAAATTCCAAAATTAAAAAGTTTCTTTTATAATAAAAGTTTTGAATTTTAACTAAAACATTTTTTTTTACTAAGTAAATCTATTTTTAACTTCTAACAAAAGTTGTAAAGGAGTATCTTATAATCAAAATAGTGGTTAAACTATTAAAATCAGCCTATAAATCATAAGATATAAGTATTTTTATCTTTGCAATTATATACTTTCTTCTTGATTTAAAAAAATTTTTTTTTATATAAATAAAGAAGAAAACAAAGATAAAATACTTATATCTTGTGATCTACTAGGCCAATTTTAATATTTTAATCACTATTTTAATAACAAGATACTCCTTTAAACTTTTGTTAGAAGTTGAAAATAGGTTTACTTTAGCAAAGAAAATTGTTTTAGTTAAAATTTAAAACTTTTATTATGAAAGAAATTTTTTAACTTTGGAGTTTTTTAAAGAAAAATTTTTTTCTTTACTAAGTAAATCTCTTTTCAATACCTAAATAAAGTTGTAGAGAAGTGTCTTGGGAACAAAATGGGCCCAGTAGATTGTGAGATATTTTTTTTTATAAATTCAGCAGTTATGCTTTAACTTTATTAGGCTTTGTACGAGTTTTCTAGACTGGTAAAATTCTACACTAAGTTGCATTTAGAAAGGTAAGTAATAAACTCTTAACTTGTTAGCAGATAGCGTATAAGAACTATCTCTAA